TCTGTACACCGAGTTATGCGTATGTCTGTTTCGAGGCAACTGCCTCTGTCACAACATCGTGTCAGATCAGAGGTCACTGTGGGCTCACATATACAATCAGACCAAGGTAAATAAACAGAGGTAAGAGTCAGACAAAACCAGAGGACTGTGCAGAAATGAACGGATTAAGTCCCACACTCAGAAAAGGAAGGAGAGCAAAGGCCATCTGCTTGAACAGGAATGTTCTAGTTTTCAGCAATTTTCACAGTGTGACACTTACAGGGAGGGAACTGCTGTCTCTCGAGGACTTCATATTATTTTGTTATAATATTATGCTTGTCAAAACACCTGATAAATGCATAGGCCAAAATGGATCTCTAATGAAATATATGTGGCCTTATCTCAACATGATAGGGTTGAGAGGATGCTTGTTAAGCGCACTGCAATTGAACGCATCTGCTAAAACCTAAGATAAAACTAGACTCAAAGTGGCCTTGACAAATTGAAACAGCATCTATCAAATTAAATAAGAGAAGGCAAGTTAGTGTAATTTTAATTTGTTCTCAAGTACATAAGGAAAAGGAGAATAAAAACCGGGCAAATAAAACAGAAAAAGAGCCTGTAGTCATAGTGGAACATCGGTCAGCTCAAAAAGCTAAAGAAGCATAATTTTTTAAACCATTTTTAAAATCAACACATCCATCTGAGTGTGTTTCACTAAAGCCAAATCATTCTTTATTCTGAGGGTAATGGAATGGTGCTGTCTCCCTTCCTATCTCATTGGGTGGCTTGTGGGAATAAAACAGATATGCAAGTGTACAGAGAAATTAAATTCAATATACAAAGCTAGCACTCTACTCCAAAATGGATGTTAAATAAACAGAATGGAATTGAGGGAAGAAAAAGTTTAGTAATTTTTAAAGGGTGATGGCATTGAGAGTGCAACATAAGAAGATAAAGATTCAGCTGTAGTATGAGGTATATTTAAGATCTGTCATGAAACTACTATGTTCTATGTCAATTATACCTCAATTAAAAAAATAAGATTGGTCAGCTATTTGTCTGAACCCTGTTATTAAAGGAGATGGTGGAATCTGCAGCCCTGAGGGGGCCACCAGAGAACCCAAAAATCTAATTTAGAGCCTCTACTATATGGAAGAAGCATAGGGACAAAATTACTGCCTTTATGCCTTTTACCTTTAAATGGAGCATTCCAACTTTTTATCCCTTAGGACAGATGATTAATTTGAAGTACTTTTGAAACAGCGGAGGCTGAAATTAAGATTTTATTTTTTAATGTTTATTTTTTTTTATTTTTGAGAGAGAGAGAGAGAGAGAGCACAAGCAGGGGCGGGGCAGAGAGAGAGGGAGACAGAGAATCCCAAGCAGGCTCCGGCTGTCAGCGCAAAGCCCGATGCAGGGACTGAACCCATGAACCTCGAGATCATGACCTGAGCCCAAGTCATATACTCAACTGACTGAGCCACTCGGGCGTCCCTAAAATTATTTCTAAAAAACAGAAACCACTTTCAATTTTCTCCATCTAAAGTGCTTCATGTTCTCCTAACCACCTAGTCCATGGCAGCAGTGGGATGGGGATGGGCGAGAGAGAATGATTTATCATATTCAGTCTATTTGTTCCCACTATATAACATGCCAGATTTTACTTTGGGATCAAAGCTGACAAGTAGTAAATAAGCTAAATTGTGACTTTCTGAAGACACAGATTCCCAATTAGGAATTTTAAGAGGCAAGTTTGCTGGTCACCAACCTTTCTGGGGTGGAGGGACTTGTGATTTAGTGTGGTCACATTATTCTCGGGTGTCTTCTACTTTCTATAAACTAGATGTGGACTGAGACACAGGATTTAGGGATCTGCTGGGCAGGAGTCCATCCACCTGCTGACAACCGGTTACCAATGACTGCCCCAGAATGTTCAACAGTTTAGACATAAAAGTTACTCTGAGAGGGGCACCTGGGTGGCTCAATTGGTTAAGTGTCCGACCTCGGCTCAGGTCATGATCTCAGGGTTCATGAGTTTGAGCCCCGCGTGGGGCTGGCTGCTGTTAGCATAGAGCCCGCTTTGGATCTTCTGTCCCCCTCTCTCTCTGCCCCTACTCCACCGGTGCCATCTCAAAAATAAACATTTAAAAAAGTTACTCTGAGAGAGATTAATAATATTCTATGTTGTAATAAAGAAAACACTGGCAGGGGTGCCTGGGTGACTCAGTCAGTTAAGCTTCTGACTCTTGGTTTTGGCTCAGGTCATGATCTCATGGTTCTTGAGATCAAGACCTGCATTGGGCTCTGCACTGACAGTGCAGAGCCTGCTTGGAATTCTCTCTCTCCCTCTCTCTCTGCCCCTCCCCTGCTTGCCAGTGCAAGTGCACATGTGCTCTCTCTCAAAATAAACAAACATAGAAAGAAAGAAAGAAAGAAAGAAAGAAAGAAAGAAAGAAAGAAAGGAAGGAAGGAAGAAAGAGAAAAAGAAAGAAAGGAAGGAAGAAAACACTGACAGGTGGGCAGGGACACATACCTAAAATAACAAACACAACAAAACAAACCACCAAATATGGCAGGCAGGCCACCAGCAAGATGAGTACTGAGGCCACCAGTTGATAGAGTACTGAATACTCAGGATTGACTATTTACAGAATTTTGTACTTAAGGTCTTAAATGTTAGGTCCCTTTAGGACTTGTGCATTGTAAAATGTCACATGTGTACGAAGTAAATGTGTTTCAAGCCTGGGGATTGGGAGCAACTCTGGTGATGGAGAGGAAAGGAGGGAGAAAAAACTCACGTGGGGGGAAAAGGCCTGAGAGGGAAAGGCAAGCCCCTCGTGTGACTGAATCAGAATGTTCTAATTTAAATTATGTTATCAACTTCACAGGGCACCTGGGTAGCTCAGCTAGTTAAGCGTCTGACTTTGGCTCAGGTCATGATCTCACAGCTTGTGAGTTCAAGCCCTGTGTCCGTCTCTGTGCTGACAGCTCAGAGCCTGGAGTCTACTTCGAATTCTTTGTCTCCCTCTCTCTCTGCCCCTAACCCACTCACATTCTGTCTTAGTTTCTCTCAAAAATAAACATTAAAACATTTTTTTAATTAAAAATATATAAACTTCCCATTAATTACATTCTTTACTACAGTTTACAGTTTTGATTTCCTTTTTATCAGAGACTGATCAATTCTGGAGACAATACAATGATAAAATATACTGCTTTGGGGAGAAACGTAGGGGGAGAGGAAAAGAATGTCCAAGAATACTATGATCCTGGCTGACACAATCCTTTTTCACGATGATTAAAAGTCATCAGTATGTTTGTCCAGCGTGGTAAAATTTAAATATATATGAATACAAAAACTCTTACGTGATTCAATATCATAGACCCAACATACATTTCCCACATCTGTTCCCCTCCCAGAAAGATAAAGGGAATAGCTTCTATGACATGGACATGAAGGACAAGGACATGAAGAATGGGAGAGGAAACAAACACATGAGAGATGTCCCAATTTCCAGACGCTGGAAATCGAACAAAGAGGGTGCGAGCCAACAGTCTGAGAGGCACAGAGAGGAACGAGTGCAGCGGGGAGCCACTAGAATGCCAGCCACTGTGGCACAGAGCCTGGAAAGGCACAGGCGTCTCAGAAAGTGGGGCCAGCAACCAGGTCGTTGGCTCAAAATTTTAAGAGGAGTTAGGCCTCTAACCCAACCCAATTCAAGCAGTCAATGGTCCACCTCCCAGAAGGATATCTGGAAAAGAGAAGTTTCTTGAGAGTATCAGAAATAAAGATAAATAAATCTTTATTTAGAGCTGAAGAGAGTGTGGAGAAATTAGAACAAAAAGGCAGAGAGAGAGAGAGAGAGAGAGAGAGAGAGAGAGAGAGAGAGAACACCCAGTAGAGAAAAGGCAAAGCCAGAGGATTAACTCAAGAGGTACGATACCTAACTGACAGGATTCTGGAAAGCACAGAGAAAAGAGAAGGAAGGAAAGTATCCAAGAAACAACACACAACAAACTTCCTCAACTGGAAGGCAGGAGTTTACAGTCAGCAAGGGCTGACACAGTGAGTGAAGAGACCCACCCCAAGGGCAACTGAGAGGATCCTCAAACCTTCCAGAGGAGGAAGGCAGCACACACACTAAAGCCTGAATCATAACAGCTCCTGTCCCTCAACTGCAGCACTAGAAGCTAGAGGACAAGTCAGGAGTCAGGACTTGAAGGCAGTGAGAGAAAATTATTCCAAATCTAGAATTCTATACCCAGCCAAACCTCGATTAAGCAAGAGGATGGGATAAAGACATGTTTTTGCATAAGACAAGATCTCAGAGTATTTACCTCCCACCACCCTTCTCCGCAAACTCCTAAGGGATGATGATGTCCTGTGCGAGCTGAGGGCGCAGGCTAAGAAAGGCGAAGACATGGGGTTGAGGAAACAGCGTTCACTGGAGGAAAGAAGTGAGTGATAATGACGACGAATGCCCCAGGACAACAGTTACCAAACAGTCCTAAACAGTAAATACCCTGACTGTCAGGTTTGGGTCAGGGAGATGTGGTCCAAGGAAAGCCATAAAAACATGAATTAATAATTCTAGAGAAATGGAAGAGTTTTAGAAGAAAGGAAATATAACCGTGGTATACTTCATAAGCGTTACAGAGTCAGATGTTGAAAAACGGGGGAAAAGGATCCGTGAATAACACAGACAGCAGTAAAAGCTTATTGTTTACAAACAGGAAACTGGCAGAGGAGTGGGCGGTCGGGTTCGAGGAGGGGTGTGTTCTGGTAAGCGGTGCCACACCGACGTGACTTTGTAACCCAGGGACCCTTCTTACCGATAAAACAGACGTTAAACAAATCTTCCAAACTACTTCATTTTCTGTCCATCGTTTGAGCCTAGGGGCTTTAATCTGGAGGAATTACCATGCGATACAGAACAACAGGGCTGGAACAAGCGAAGGCGGAAGGAACCGCGCAGAAGGGACAGAAAGAGCAAGCTGGGAAGGGGCTTTGCACTCACCATTTCTCTGGCTATTTCCAGCGCCTCCTGCAGGCCATAGAGCCTGCCGCACACCAGGTAGATTCCGTTGGCCCAGAGAATACAACCCTCATGGACCCAAAATTCATTGCTGTCAAGAGGTAGTTCAGGGATTTGTAACTCCAGCTCGGGACCACCTTCGGAAGTGGTGGGCACGGAGGGCTTTGAGTCCAAAACGGTCTTTTCGCCGCCGCCCTCGGTGGTTGCTTTCTTACAAGGGAGCCCCCTGGACAGGGACCGAGGGCCCCCGCCACAGTCTTCCGAGCGGTGTCGCCGCTTAAACCTGGGGTGGGCGGCCAGGCTCCTCTGCTCCTTCTGCTGCTGCTCTTCCTCCTCCTCAGTGTCCGTCTTGGAGCCGTTGGACGCGCTTTTGTGCCGTACCTTAACCTTGCTCTGCATTTCCGTGGCCCTCTTGGGCGGCGGATTCTTCGGGAGAGTGGCTGCATAATCTTGGGGATAAAAGGGTCCAAAGAGGTCGCCCATGTTCCGGTAACTGGCCCACTTGCCACACAGACAGCAAACCAGGTGCCCCATAACAGAAGACTCTGTCACGACGGGGCCCTGCAGCATGAAGGACGAAGCCGGGAGCACCTTGCTTTCAGTGCTGCTGGGCGGCGGGGTCAGAGACCTCTGACCCTTCCGACCCCTCACCAATTTGGTCTGTTCTTCTTCTTCAGCATTGATGATTGTACACACGGCTCCAAGTTCACACTTATTTACTACATGGATATAAGGGAAAAAAGACTTGTTCTTGGCGTCGGTTTTATCCAGTGGCTGGGTGGCATACTTTAGTTTGATCTCAGGTTCTTGGGGTTCCACGATGGGAACCGCCTGTTTGGTTTTCCGCTTCCTTGGCTGGGCCCCAGGCTTCCTTCTCTCCCGCCTTTGCCTCTGCTTTTTTGGCTTTGGCTCTCCATCTGCAGAAGCTTCTGGTATCTGAGGGGGCTGAGGGGGTGGAGGTGGTGGCTGCTGTTTCTTCTGCTTGTTCACACTACCGATGGGTCTCCCCTTCTTCTTTCCTGACGGGAAGTACCCCTTCGGGGGGAAACCCTCTTGTTTGGGGGAAATCGTCACTGTATCGCTCTCCTTGTCTTCAGCCTTGGGGTTTGCCTCAGGGGCCGACACGCCCGCTGGAGGTACATTCTTTGCGTCAGAAAAGATTAAAGGCGCAGTCCCACCAAGGGAACCATCTGGTCTCCCCTGGTTACTCCCAGGCTTCTGTGAGGTGGTGGACGTCATGGTGCCAGGGGGTTCCTTTCCAGCGGTGACCGTGTCTGGGTGTGTTTCGGTCTTCACTTTGTCGTCCCCACTGCCACGCCACTCCTCGGAAGACCTCGCCAGGGGCTTTTCTACGTTCAAGTCCTGGCTTGTGGGACAGACTAGGTCAGATACCAGCTCACCTTTTCTCTTCTCCATCTCGGCGTCCGGAACAGCCACACTCCCACCTTCGGGAGGGCCACTCTTCAAAGACAGTATGTCATCGAGAGTAACCGTGTCTCCCCCGGCCTCCGCGCTGTTCGAGGATGCACTCCTCCTAATATTCGGGGACGTGATCTTCTGAACTATAGCCTCCAGTTTCAACCCCCGTCCTTTCCGAGGGGGCAGTATTTTGGTCTTAGCAGGGCTCGTGAGGGTGACGGCAGGGCAGTTCCTGCTATCTGGACTCGGAAGGTCCTTGGAGGATTCTCTCTTAGGGACAGACTTGACATCCTGACTGTGAGAAAGATGCGCATAGGAATTGAATGCTCGATCGGCGCCTTCTTTTGGTGGGTGAAGGAGGCGCCCTTTATCTTCGGTGTTACTGTTTTTCACATCTTGTGACTGCCTCTTGCTGGGGATGGGAGAGATAAAGGAACGCACCCGCCTCCGCATGATTAAGGGGTTTTGAGAAGAATGATCCTCTTGGCCTGGAAGCCTGAGCATAACATTGCCGGGTTTGGATGACTGTGCGGTCTCGGCGAGCCCGTGCCCATCGGCCTCGTGGGGGGGTCCGTACCTTTTCTGATTGGACATTCCCGGAGGGCCGCTGCTTTTGGCTGGAGAAGTCTGTCGGGAAAGATCCCAACAAGATTCTTGTTGTAGCTTCTGGGAGCCATGCTTCAATTCAATGCCTTTGTTAGACAGACCGTCACTAGACATGAGGCAGCGCCCGCCTTCCTGAGCGCTGGGGTCGTGGTAAGTCCCCATTGGTGGGCCATACATCATACCGTCTTTGTCGTTTTTCAGGGGGCTCCGCACCCTGTCGAGAAACTGCTGCTGCCTCGGGCTCTTCCGTGGTCCCTCCTGCCTGTGCTGTGCCGCAGAGATTACTCCCTGAGCAGAGCTGCTGCTCCAGTCTTTGTATTCCTCTTGTTGCTGTTGGTACATCTGTCTCTTATAATGGAGCTGAGAATTCAAGCCTGCGTTGGGGTCCCCATAAGCATGAGCCCGCGTATTTGTGTGGTAAGCGGAGGCCAGGCTTTCTGAGTTGGGAGAGAAGGGAGCGTGTAAAGAAGTCCGGTTGGCCCTCTCCGAGAAGGTCATGTGTGGGTTCATGTGATGAGGGTCTCCCCCTGGGCCTCTGCTCCTCCCAGGAGACATCTTCAGTTTTTCTGAGAAGTCATGATATTGCGAAGGGGACCGACCCCTCATGCCCTCCCGACCACCGACTCTGCCAGGGACCCGCCGCATTGGCGCGGGTCTGCTGTCCTGTGGGCCATAGTCTGAGATGGAATCGTGGGCTGCTCCAGGGCTGGCATTGCCGCGGTAAGACTCGTGCTTGATGCTAGCAGGATGGCAGTGGTCTCCGGATTTCTTGTTGTTGAAACTAGCTTGAGATTTGGGTGGTTCAAAGTCTTCTTCTTTTATCTGCCCGCTCTGGGATTTCAGCTTTGTTTCCATGGATACCAACCCACCCGGAAGAATGACCGACTGACTTAAACTTGGATTGAGCCGTTCACTCCTTGCGAGTCTGGCGTCAGCACCCATGTGTCCCAGTGAGTGAGCCCCCGGGTCCCTGACAATCTGTCTTAGTGGAGAAATATCACAGATCACTGATCTTCTTTCAGAGAGGGAACCCCCGGGCTCATGAGCCGATGACTGGGGCTCTATTTCAAACTTTCTGGGAATCGGATAGTCAGCCAAATTGATCTGTTTCATCTCAGGAGCCGTGCCGCTTGACTTCCTCTCCCAGGGGCCCCAGTGCGGGTTTTCTAGTAGGGACCCAATGCTTTTGTTCAAAAGGCCCCTGCTAGCCAATTCATTGGTTTGACTGACCAAGACGTTAGGCCTCGTGGCTCCTTCCAGGCCACCAGCCATGCCCTGATGCTCCTGAGTGCTCCTAGAATATCTCCTGTCAGGGTGGTGGTGGTAGCCCTGAAGCACTTCCTGCAGGAGGCTAGGGAACTTCTCATTTCTACCCTTTCGCTCCCCGTGGCCAGTGAAATCACCCTTATCTTGTCCCGTAGGATACTGAGGAAAGCTACTGACGTTTCTTGGCACAGCCGACCCGAAACTATCTTTGTAACTGTAGCGCAGGCTTCCAGGAGATTTGCTGGGCTCACTTCTGCCTATAAAACCAGGGCCCACCGTGGAGTGCCCGCTCTGGCCATTTCCCTCTCCGTTGTGGTTCGAGTTATTATCTCCATTCTTGTTTCCTTTGCTCCCTCCCCCCGGGGGCTCTGGCTGTGGAACTGATGGGTGACTGGTCTCCTTTGCCCCACCAGTGCTGGGTGGCCTTTGAGTGACTGCAGGATCATCCTCTTGGGAGCTTTTATCTTGCCCACCAGGCTTTTCTACCCGACTTGTCATAGCTTCCCGGGAGACAATCACCCCAACCGTCTTCTCATTGACTTTTGGGTTGCCCTCGGATGACAACGGTGCGTCCTTAGCGCCTGGCGAGGCAGCCTCTTCTCCGGCTGCAGGACTGGCATTGAGTCTGGGGGCTTCGTTCTGAGTGCCTTGCGCTGGTGAGGAGCCAGCTTTCTCGGAGGCTCCGCCCTTGTAGGTGGTGTCGGAGCTGGTGCTCTGGCCACTTAACTGCCTCACACGCTCGCCTTGATCCTCAGAGCTGCTGGAGCAGCCTCCGTCCAGCGACTCTGCCATGGGGGACTTCAGTTGTTCTTCAGGCTGTGAGGAGCCTTCGGAGTTTGTGCAGCTGTCTGCTTTCTTAGAAGACGAGGAGGGCCTCTTGGAGGTCTTCTTCTGAGGTGTCAGGGCATCAGAAAGTAGCATGTGCTGAACGGTATTAGGAAGATTGGCCACTTGAGTACTCAGGGCGCTCAAACTACTCAGCCCAGGATCTGTCAGTCGCTTTTCTGGCACTCCTTCTAGTCCAAACCCTTTGAAGCCTGCAGCATGAGAATTAGGGCTGGGCATCATTGAGGGGGTCGGGCTGAGCTGGGGCATTAACTGTAAAATTCTGTTTCTGGAACCCATGGGCACACTGCCTTGCCCGCACTGGAGGCTCTCCCCACTCTGCATCAGAGGAGACGGGGTGGAGCTACAGCTCGGAGACTGAACCACCGAGGCCGCGGGGGAGGGGTTCGAGATGGGGCTGAAGTTCTGGTGGAACTGCATGGGGGACCTCACAGGAACCTCGGGCTGGCTGTACTGGCCCACCTGGCCCTGCAGGGGCAGCTTGGTGGCAGCGTTGGCGTACTGCATCACATGCTGAGGGGGGTGCTGCTGCGCCTGCTGCGCCTGCTGCTGCGGCTGCTGCTGCGGCTGCTGCGTCCCTGGTGGAATCTTTGCCTGTTCAAAATTCTTCATAGATTGAGGCTGATAGCTGTAATTTGATTGTGTCCCATAGGCCTGTGCATTAGAACCCACGCCGTGTCCTTCATACTGGGATCCGGCGTTCACGCTGTAACCGCCGTCGTAGCTCTGTCCCGACTGGCTGAAACGCTGTGGCGAAGGGAAGGAGGAGGAGGAGGAGGCAGCAGAAGACTGGTAGTGTTGGCCGAACTGACCCACTCGGAGCTGGTACCCGGCAGCAGAGGACGGCAGAGCTGAGGGCCGCTGCATCGGCTGCAGATGGGACGAACCGGACGCCGGCTGGCCAGTGGCTTGCGGCAGAGGCTGATGGGACTGGTAAAGCTGTTGTCTCAACTGCTGTACCTGCTGCTGCTGCTGCTGCTGCTGCTGCTGGCTGGAGGCCTGCTGCTGGTACTGAGCGCTCCCTGGAGAGAAGGGCCCCGTGTAATCCTGCTGATAATGAGACACACCGCCAAGGGCAGAGTGCTGTGCTTGAAACTGGCCCACGTGACCCTCGCTCCCATACTGATTGCCAAAGCTGCTCCCCTGGGGGGGTCCGTAGCTCTGCACAGGCCCCGAAGGCCTTCGCTGAGGCGGCTGCGGGGTTCCCGACGTCACGGGGTCTTTGCTGCCCGCCATGTAGTAAAAGTCTCCAGCCTCCTTCCTGAAACCCTGGTAGCCCTGGTGGCCAGAGGTTTCGCTAGCCATCGCTGCCGCAGCCGCCGTTCCTCGTCGCCCACCGCCGCCGCCGCCGCCGCTGCCACCACTGCCGCCACCTGCACCCCCAAAATTCTGGAACATCTGGGCCTGACGAGGGCTGAACTCTTCTATCCGGGATGAGCCGTGTACCTCCTGCGGGTAGCTCTGTTGGTCTCCGTGGTAACTGCTTTGCTCCCGGAAGGACTGCATACTGTTCAGCAGCACGGCAGCAGGCCAACAGCCCTCCTGGAAATGGAAGAGGAGACAGGAAAATATCAGACACGCATCTCCTCCGTACAAAGAAAATCAAGTCTAGATGATGGAGGGGATACAATCATTCAGACGCCCAGATGAAGGGGACTGGGCTGAATCTCATCTCCTTTGATTTCTTATCCTATCCCTTTCTGAAAATGCAAATAAGTGGGGAAATGGCCTCAGGAGTGAGGCAGAAGCCTGTGGCAGCATGAAAAGAAACAGTCTGGATAAATACAAATTTAATACAGAAAAAACCCTCATAATTAAATAAATGAGCCCCCAACATTCTATCGGGCTAAAATATGGGGCTGTGCTATTACTATTAATAAAAAAAAAAAAAAAACAAAAAAAAAAACCCCAGCAATTTTTAAGTAAGTCTTCCAGTTACAGTGGGGGAGTATGAGGAAAAAAACACTTTCATTTATTTGCTTTCGTTATTATTTGTCTGATCGCTGAACTGAGTCTCAAATAATGATGAGGCAGTCACTCCACTGGCTGTCCCACCCTCCCCAACTTTGAGCAACAGAACTCAGTCTCATGTCCAAATGCATGCGATTGCAGGTTTCCTGTAATTACTGACTGGTGACCCCAGGACACTCAACTCTGATCAGTGTATGGATCCCCTGATTGCTGCAGTCATTCCTCACAAACTTAGGGCTTAACCTCTTTCTTGACAAGCAATTGTGTGCAAGGCACTCCTCCTTTCAGCCATCTGTCCTTAACTCCCAGGGACAAAGGACTAGGCAGCATAAGCCAAAGCAGCAGTGACTTTTCTTCCAGATTCTTTTTGTAGGTCTGCAAGAAGTTCCAGCACCTCTAACACCCACACAGATTTTTATTTGCCAATCTAGTATTCACAGAGTTATAACTGGCCATTACTGTGAAGTAGGAAATTGAAACAGTCACTTTGGAAGACAGTACAAAATATAGAGGAAAATAAAAATTCATCAGCTAGGACCTAGACTCTTCTCAAAGTCATCCGATTAGGTCAACAGCTTGCATTACCTTTGCTGATGTAATAGCATGTAATGTACTACTCTTCTTAGTCAGTCAAGAGAGGATCTTATTTTTTTGCCTTTTGCCTGGGCCTGTCTACTTCTCAGGGTTAGCTGAGTAAAACAAGGTCAAAGAGCTCCAAAACTCTTTAAAATCAGTTACTTAAAGAAGTTGTGAGGGGCACCTGGGTGGCTCAGTCAGTTAAGCGTCCGACTGGCTTAGGTCATTTGTGGGTCTGAGCCCGGCGTCGGGCTCTGTGCTGACAGCTCGGAGCCTGGAGGCTGCTTCAGATTCAGTGTCTCCCTCTCTACCCCTTCCCTGATCGTGTTCTGTCTCTCTCTCCCTCAGAAATAAACATTTTTGGGGCGCCTGGGTGGCACAGTCGGTTAAGCGTCCGACTTCAGCCAGGTCATGATCTCGCGGTCCGTGAGTTCGAGCCCCGCGTCGGGCTCTGGGCTGATGGCTCAGAGCCTGGAGCCTGTTTCCGATTCTGTGTCTCCCTCTCTCTCTGCCCCTCCCCCCGTTCATGCTCTGTCTCTCTCTGTCCCAAAAATAAATAAACATTGAAAAAAAAAATTAAAAAAAAAAAAAAGAAATAAACATTTTTTTTTTTTAATTAAAAAAAGTTGTGAAACACATCTAAGTTAGGGTAAGTGAGGGCAAAGTTTTCTTACAATGGCTTATTAAGCTAGTTTCTTCTTCTTAGTTCCTGCTCAGGGAGCTGACAATAATGCTGCTAGCAGGTAAGTCAGCAATCCTTTTCAAAGTTAAGCTGGAGTTCGCATCTCCAAGCCCTAAG